AAGGTAGGAATTCCTTCTATCAACGAAAAGAATTGTTTAAGAAGTAGTATATGACTTGGTTCTTGCATACACGGAACTAAACGCTAGTCGGGGAGACAACTGACAGGAAAAAGGATCCATTAAAGGTGAAGAGCATCAGAACAGGGCAGGCTCTGCTAAAAAGAGCTAATACAACAGCAGTTTCTGTTCCTGAGCCTGCTACTTGCCCTGTACATATAGTAACAACCTGCTGATGTAATCCAACACCCAAATCCTGCCCTCTCTACCTTCAAAACACCTCCCAGTATCTCACACTCCTCCCCCGCTGCCCACAGTCTCGGTCCTTATCTGCAGCCTCCCCACCGAGCGGCTCCACACCGCTCCTTTGCTCCCTGCCCTCAACAAGCTATTCTCCCCCCAGCACCCAACGAAATGATCCATTTAAACACGCCAGGCACCACGATTTCCCTGCTGTTCAAAACCCTCCAAAACTTTGCTGGGAGTAAAAATGTCACAGTCTTTAAACAGCCCACAAAACATGATGTCTAGGAGCCAGTCCTGACTACTTTCACAACTTCATTTCCTAATACCCTCCGGGAAAGTGACCCCCTTGAAGCTCCTTAAATGCGCGAAGCCTTTCAGAGCTCTGCTGCCATCCTCTCTGCTGGGTTGCGAGTCCCCCATCAGTCGCCTGGCCTGCTCCCTCACTTTCTTCAGTCTACGCTGCCACACTTTTAAAGGGACCCTCTCCTGACCACAGCATATAAAATACTAACCACCAAAGAGTGGCCAAAGGAAATATCATACCTCCAACCTATGGAGCACTATGTAGGTGCACAAAAGCCATGAGGATGATTTCTATGAAGTGATACAAAATGATTTTCCAGACATATGGTTAATTGACGAAAGCAAGGTACAAAAGAGTATACAGTGTATGTTACCTGCCGTTTAAGAAAAGGAGTTAGAAATAAACATATGTATCTGTTTATATCAGCAAACAAAAACAAGAAAGACAAAATGGAAACAAATTATATGCTAGCGGAGAGAAGGGGAGGGAGACAATAGGATTTTTCTGAGCATATCTTTTTATAGAGCTGTTTATAGAGCTTTTTAGACAACAACGAGGAATTGAACAAACAGAAACAAATTAATGCAATATATACAAATTAATAACATAACCATACAGAAGAAAAAAGGTTGATTCAAATAACTTTAAAATGCAGTAGTCTGCACATAACCCAGTGGGATATATGGAAAAATAAAAAGAACAGCAAAGGAATCTTGAAGTATATTTAGTAGCGTTTGTGCTTGGTAGTGGTCATGGTATAGCAATTATGAAACTATTTGTGTTTCATATAAATTAGGAAAATATACTGATGCTACTAAACTTCAGTTATTTCCACATAAATTAGGAAAGTATAGTGATGCTGGTAAACTTCAGTATATTTTCACTGTGAAGAAGCAAGATGCAAAGACGGAAGGGAGAAGAAAGAAGAAGAATCAAATTACTGGATTAACCTTAGTGGTAACGCAATAAACCCACTGCTGTGTGAAAAAATCTGTTTCCCAGCTCTGAAAACAGGCAGGCCCTGGCAGCATGAGTCCAGTGCCCTGCACACACCTAGCACTGAGAGTGTGATTCCGAAGTACCACCCCCACTGCAAAGGAACAAGGAAACCTCTGATCCCAAGGGTAAGGCAGGAAGGGAACTGAAAGGAGGCCAGAACTTCTTCCAGTGCCAGAAAGGAAGGAAGTGTTCAGAAACTCAAGGAAACATGATGAAAGTAAGCTAAAGCTTGGAGGAGTTCCCACTTCCAAATTTGGGATCACTGAACATCAAAATGGACAATGACAGGAAGACCACCTTAGAAAAGTCCGTATTAATGGATTCCATATGAGTCCATACTAATAATAAGCAAATGAAATGAAAAAGGGAGGTGCTTAAGTTCTTCATTCCCAACGAATGTCAATAACGTATAAAGAAGAGCAGGCATAGAAAATTGCCATCTACAAACATGTGAGTGATAATAGACTAAGGGAGGAATTGCCACTGGATGCTAAACCTTTGCATGAAAGATTGCTGGGGACCAGGATAATCACACCATCTCCAAGTGTCATCTAATACATCATGTACTATTTAGAAAGTGGGGATCGTGCCTTTAGAGTGAAGAAAGCTGATGAGCCTCACCCTAACCACATAACTGGGATGAACACCTCCATGAATGAAGCTACTGGGCTGCATCTGCCACTGACCAGACGCACTCGAAAAACTCCTGCCCCAGAGAGTGTCGAACCGCAGACACGAGGAAACAGAGGATCCAAATCAAGAAACATTGTATAAAACAACAGATCCTTCAGAAACGGTGATGTCACAAAATACAAAAAAACAAAAACAAAAACACCAAAAAACTGTTAACAGCAGTCTTAGGTTAAGGGGGTTAAAGAGGCATGACTTCCAAATGCAGCGGGATCTACCTTTGGCTTCTGGGCTCTATGACAAAACAGGTGTCCTCTTAGAAGATACATGTTGACGTACTTAGGGGAGCTGCAAATCTCAAATGGTTTAGCATAAAAAAAAAAAGTTAAGTATATGCATGTATGTATAAAAAAAGAGAAGTAAACCAAATGTGACAAAATGTTACTAACTGGTGATTCAAGAAGAAAGTTTTAAGTGTTCACTGTGCTATTTTTTGTCAACTATTCTAAACATTTTTAATGTTCCCAAGTGTTTGCCCTGGCTGGTGTGGCTCAGTGGATTGAGTGCTGGCCCGAGAACCAAAAGGTCACTGGTTTGATTCCCAGTCTAGGGCACATATCTGAGTTGCAGGCCGGGCCCCCTGTGGGGGGCGGTGGGGGATGCAACCACACACTGATGTTTCTCTCCCTCTTCTTTTTCCCTCCCTTTCCCCTCTCCAAAAGCAATAAATAAAGTCTAATAAGTGTTCCCTTAACCACTTCCCTTCCCCTTTCTTATGCATTTCTGATTAGTAAATGTTTTATTTTACCACCACACCATGGCTATACAGTTACTCATCTAGTTACTCACTGTCTCCCCCACTGTAATGTAAGCTTCCCCAAGTCTGTTCCTTGCTGCATCCTCAGGCCCTTGTACAGTGTCTGATACAAGGCTGACCCTCAAATAAGTATTTATTGAATGACTGATGTTCACAATCATTCTATGAAGTAGATACTGCTATTATCCTTTCTCTCACGTGAGTGGTGTTCTCTCCTCCCCCCGAAAAAGCAAAGATACTGCGGTATGCAGAAGTTAGGTAACGTCAAAGAAATTAGAACTCAGGTGGGGGGCGGGGCCGCGGTCTGAAGCCAGGCATCCCACTCTAGAGCTGATGCTGTCAGTCACTGGTAGGCAGCTTCCCTACCGACCCCAAAGAGCTCACTCTCTGTGGGGTGCACCATCCATTCGGTCTTGTCAGGGCCTGGCCTATTCAGAGCCCGAGACATTCACGCTTGCCCTGGCCTCCCTGCCGCCATTTCCTGTCAACCGCAGTCCTTCCTCTTTGCTCCTGCCAGGTTATTCTTCCTAAGTGCATGGTTCTGAGCCTGCCAGGCTCAGAGAGTTGTCCTTTGCCTGGAGAAAAGAATCCATGCTCCCAAAGGGGACATTCAAGGGCTCTGCGCAGGGCCTCAAGCTCAAGTGGACACACTTCCTCTGCTGTGACACTAAATCATTCTGTGTTGCCCAAACGTCCCCCCCACCCCGCCCCTCCCTGCCACGTACACTGTGCTGTGCTCTCTTTCTCATCTGCTCTCCTCCTCCTGGAACCTCGCCCCTCATCATGGCACATCCACAAACCACCTGTCCCCAGAGGCCAAATCCAATACTTTCCCTTCCACAAAGTCTGTTTCACAAAAGATATTGTAAAGTGAGGCCATCACCTAAGAACACTCTTTGGCCTTTCCTGCTGCATGCCCCAAACACATGAAGTTTAACCTCTCTTACATTTACTTCTGTGCCTTATCAAGAAGGTACTTTGAGCATAGCTCAGCCCCTCCCCCCAGGCCGCACTGCGTAGATGAAGAAGGTACCCTTCAGGCACAAATAAGTGCTGAATGCAGAGTGGAAGATGGAAAGCTGATTTGGTAGGATATGCTAAGGGGACCCCGATGGGAAAGCCCAAGGAATAGAGAAAAGCTAGTTAAGGGGGTTATTACTATGCTCCAGGGGGTTCGGCTATCATTTAGCTAGGGGCCTGTGTGTGGAGAGATTTAAGAGGGCGGGGAGATAAAAATGGAGGCGAGGACACCAATTTTGTGTGGCTGCTGTGACGATTAGACGAAAAGTGACAGGGATGAAGGCAGCTCTATACACACAGTAGTTCTTTTATGCGTTGAAGCGGGAGGAAAGGCGCTCCTGCCGCCTTACTGAGGGCTCTTTCAGGGCCTCCCTGAAAGAGCCATCGCCTACTTCTTTGAGCCCTGCCCCCCGCCCACCTCTGCGGGGCCAGCCCGCCGACAGGGCTGGGAGAGGAGCTCCGCGGCCAAGCGTGTAGTTGGGCAGGTGGGACCCCCTTCCCCCTTCCCCCTTCCCCCAGCCGAGTTCACCAAGCGGTGGTAAAGTGCGTAAAGTTCCCCGGGACGCACAAGTGACTCAGGCAGTAGTCTCAGACCCGGACACACCCTTCCGGGGAACACTGGGTGGGAAGGGGAGCCGCGATGGGGGGCGGAGGGCCTTAAAAAGAAATCCAGAGAAAGGAAAGAAACAACGCAGGGTCGGGTGAGCGAGTTGGGGTCCTTCCCTCTCCTTGCCCAACGCGATGCCGGCGCCTTACGTCCAAGTTGCTGTCGGCCCACCCAAGGAGGGGTGCAGAGGCAAGGACAACTCTCTATCGCAGACAAGGTGTGCTCGCTGCATTTTCTCGCACCTTCTCCCTTCCCCCAACACTACAACTTCCAATCGCGTCGGGCCACACCCTTGGCTATAGAGCTTCGACGTCCTGGGGCCTCGGACACCCCGGCACCGCCTAGACTCCGAGGGAGCTCCGGGGAAGGCCGCCACTCACCGAACTGGAGCAAGAGAATGGCCAGGCTGAATACCGCTGCCAACGCCGTCGGCCCCCGAACCCCGATCTTGCCCATAGCGCGTCTGGAGTCTAAGTGCCGCCTAGACCAAGGGCCCTCCCACAAATAGCGCCCTCGCCTCTCCGGTCCCATCCTGCCCCGGCCCGCCCCGGCCCGCCCCGGCCCGCCCCCGGCCCGCCCCGGCCCGCCCCCGGCCCGCCCCGCCCGCGCCCCCGGCCCGCCCCCGGCCCGCCCGCGCCCCGCCCGCGCCCCGCCCCGCCCCGCCCCCTCGGGTACCGCTCCATCCCGCCCCGTGGCGCGGCCGCCCTCGCGCTTCGCTTGCGCCCGCGCGACATGGCACGGTCCCGCCCGACTTCCGCGCGTGCGCACCCGCACTTTCTCTGGGTTTTGGACCAGGTCGGTGGTAGCTGTAAAGTTGAGGTTTCAGGTCCCCCAAAGCTGCTCCCCACCCCGCTGGGCACTAAGGGACAGCAAAACTCTGCCGAAGGGCAGGGAGGCTCCGAAGCACTTTATTCCTTCAGTGCTTTCTAGCAGCCGCCGCCGCGGGGAGCCTGCGGTTCCGCCCAGTGACTCTGCGGACGGCCTCCTGACAGACAGCCTCTTTAAGCCACGCTTTCCTCAAGCGCTAAAAGGAATCGGGAAATGCCAGACCGCGGCTAGGATGAGTGGGATTACTGATGCAGCCCCTTTAACGCCATTGTCTCCGCAGTCAAGTGCATGTCACCGTTGCCTTCAGCCTGACCCCCAACCCCAACACCCCCCTCACCGGGGCCAGAGTTTCGGCCCTGCGGTTTCTCCCTTCTGTTTCCCTCTCCGTTCGCTCCCGCCATTCCAGCTGTGGATGGCCCTCGGGCTGAGCAGTCAGATCTGTTGGCTTGCCAGTAGGCCCGCCAGAACCTCTACCCCGTGGGCGGGGCAGGCCCTGGGAACTCTCCGTCGCGCTAGCCTCTTGGTTGGCGCGCCCTCCCCTCGAATCCACCTGATCCCAGAGCAGATTACTCCCGGAGCCGCTCCTTGCAGCAGCCCCCGCTGGCTGCCGCCTTTGTGTGGGAGCGAAGGCCCGGAAAGGCCGTTGCCCACTTGCGGGAGTTAAGGGAACTCTCCCCGGCACAGGAGCCCTGCCGCCCAAATACACCCACCGCGTTGCCTGCCGGCTGCGCAGCCCGGCGGCGGAAGTGCGCTCAGGATGCTGGCTCCGCGGTCAGGCTCGGGCGGGGCCCCCAAACCACTCAACGCCCTTGACCTAGACTGTAAGAATCCACGCATTATTTCCTAAATTAACCATCTTTTTTATTTTTTAAAAAAATTATTGATTGATTGACGTAGAGAGGGAGAGAGGGAGGGGAAGAGAGAGAGGGGGAGAGAAATGTGGGTTTATTTGCTGCTCCACTACTGACGCACTCATTGGTTGATTCTGTCCTGTGCCCTGACCGAGGCCTAACCGCCACCGTGCCCTACGGGCCTGCGCCCTAACCAACGGAGCTGCCTGGCCAGGGCCTCAGTGTGTTGCTTATGACAGTGAAGCTTGTTAGCAGGCAGACGGCCGGAGTGTGCGCTGTCCTGGCCAGAGGTCGTGTCCTTTGGGTTGGGTGCTGAGAAGGCCGCTCTGGGTGGGGACGCGGTGGCTGTGTTCATGTCCTTAACACCGGGAGAGACCCGCAAGATTAGCTATTGGTCCATGAGATTCCAATGTCCGGGACCCGCTGCCCGGCACGGCTGGCCGCCTTCTTTCCTTCCCTGCCCAGACCTGCTGAGCGCCCCGGACACCATCCTGCCAGAGAGGAGCTTGGGGAAGAGAATCGCCCCTCAAACTCGAGGTAGCCCCCCACCCCACCCTGCCAGCGGCGGCGTCCTCAGCGGCCGCGCCCTCCTGGCCTGGCGGAGGTTTATCGCACCACCTTTGGCTGGTCCCCTGCGTCTGAATTCCAGAGTCGCCGATGGTGCCAGCGGGCATCTCGGAGCTGGAGGCGGCGCAGACACTGCTGGGGCATCACAGGGAGGTCGCCAGGATGCTCCGTGCACCCCCGCACCCTGCAGGGCCTCAGTGCTGACCGGCCGTGCGTGGACACCCTCTGCCAGGGCGAGCACAGGCGCACGGCGGGCTCACCCGCGCCGCGCCCCGCCCTCCCTCACCCCACAGTCACCCCATGGGTCATGTGCCTGGGACGCCTGGCGCCCCTGAGCGGCGGGGCCCCCGGGAGCTCCCCACTCGGAGACCCGGGCTAACTCTGTACACTCTGTGCGGTGGGCGGGTTGGACCGTGAGGGGCGGGGCGAGGGGCAGCCAGCGGCACCGTGGAGGGAGACGGGAGAGAAAATCTATAAAAGCTACAAATACAGCAACAAAATCCCACCACCACCACGAAGATCAAAAAGCCACAGTGCAACTCGGGTGCCGTGCGTGCATTTAAAAACGGCTGAAGCGGGAAGGCGTGTGTGGAGGGGACCGTTGAGCCCCAAGACTTGCGGGGCTCAATGGTCCCCACCCCTGTGACCTGCGTCCACGTCCACACCACGTGTCCACCGTGCTGTCTTGGGCATGTCTCTGAAGCCCGCGGGCCTCGGCTTTGCCAACCCTGACACGAGAACCAAGTCCTGCCTCCCCACCGGCCCGGGTGACGATGCCAGGGGCGTGACAGGGGCTCTGCCAGTCGCGTCTCCTTTGGCGCAGTGCACGTCAGACGTTCGACACTGTCGACCGGCAGGGAAGGCTGGAGGAACCCTTCCCTAAAGCCGCGGAAGGAGTGGTTTTTAAAGTCTCGAGCCAAGCTTCGGCTGTCTCCGAGGCCAGTTACCCCGTCTGTGCTGTGACAGGTCAATGACACAATAAAAATGCTGCAAAAAATAACACTTGGCAGTTGCCGCCGGTTTTTTCGTCTGTCCTCTCACACCCCTTCAAGGGAAGTTTTGTTTGGTGGGAAGGCGGCTCCCGGCGCCCAGGGGCGGCCCTGCGACCCACCTGCCTGCTGCTCCGCGGGGAGGAGCCAGGCCTGGCCCTCCGAGGGTCAGCCCCCGGGGCGCCTGGAGGTTGACGCTGCGTTTGGAAACGCCAGGCTCAGGGGGCTTATAATTTTCACGAGGCTTCACATCTTGGAAGGGTCTTCAGCAGCCAACACTGCACTCTAAAGCTAAACAACATTTATCTTATGTCACGATTCTGAATTCACACATTAATGGCTTCCAAATTATTTAATTAAATTTAAAAGTTCACGTGGTCATTCATAAAGAGTTCGTGCCTGGAGTTGTAAATAAAAATGTGAGTGTCTGAATATTAATTTTTATTCATTAATAATTCAGAGAAATAGAAAATTGGAATGCAAAATTCTCTGTTGTTTTTTTTTTCATCTCTCTGCAGTGCATCTAGCAAATGCATATTTTTAAAAAAGAATGATTAGATGTTGAGACTGTCTGGAGGATCATTACTTCTAATTAACTTATTTACTGTAAATTAAGCCTCATTTGTAAGCAGGTTGCTTTGCCTGCATTATTGGTTCTCCTCGATGTGCTGATCCTGGAAGGTCTGAGGAGCCCCTTGCTTGGACCGCTTCCCATGGGCTATTCCCACTGGAGGTCCCCCGCGGCCATGGGGTTAGGAGAGTGGGCCCTGCCCCACCAGCCCTCTGTAAGTGGGGACAAGAATGCTTGGCCCCCCTGGGACCGAGAGCTGAGTGAGTCAGACCCTGCCTGCAGACCGCTTAGCAGTTACCACGTGCTAATGATCATGGTCACAACCTTGCACTGTCAATTAACCCACCTGCGCATTTTGTTCTAAAAATGAGGGGAATTGTGGTTTTTCTAATGATCCTGCCAATTAAAAAAAAAGTACACCAAAGCCAAAAAACAAAAACCCCTAGAAAGATTTGAGAGGTCCAAATCTGCACAATGCATGTATTCTCCTGGTTCTCAGTTTTGTTCCTCTCCCCCGACCAGGGGACTTTTGGCAGTGTCTGGGGACATCGGCGGTTGTTGCAACCTGGGAGGTACTGCTGGCCCCTGGTGGGCAGGGCGTGGGTGGGGGGAGCCAGAGATGCTGCTTAAATCCTACAATGCACAGGACAGGCCCCTTAGTCAGGAACCAACTGGTCCCAAATGTCAAGAGTGCAAGGTAACCATAAAAATTGTTAAAGGTGTCTCTATCAGTGAAATCTCTGGGGCCAATGGCTTGCAACAGGAAGCCTGCGTCTGTCAGTCACTCCCTAGAATCTGAAGGCATGGGGAACACAAGGCAGTTGCGGTGTGTGGCACAGACACGAGAAAATCTACCAGCCCCGGCAGGTAGAAACTCAGGGCCAACTTAGAAAGTGGGATGGAGTCAGCCCTTCAGACCCTGGAAAGCCCCTGAAAGATTTTGAGTTGGGAAGTGACAAAACAGCAAACAACTTGCACCCTCACTATGGGCCAGGTCCTGTATTAAGTGCATTACCTGGGGTAACTTGATCTTGCTGCTGTCCCTATTTTTATAGTTGAGGAAACGGAGGCTCAGAGAAGGTCAGCGACTTCCCAAGGACATGCAATAAGGGGCAGAACTGGGAGTCCAACCAAGGCTAAGTATAACGCAGCACGCCTACCCTTGCACACAGGAGCAGGAGGCAACTTTTGGGCGGGCAGCCATGTCGTCGTTCAGACTGGCCAGCAGGAGCAGCTAACCCTCTCAAGAGCAGAGCTGAGGAAAGGGCTGCCCAGTCACCTGGGGCTAAGAAGTAACCCCCAGGTCATGGTCTCCAGGCATGAGGAATGATTCGCAGGCCTGCCTTGGTGGAGTGCCCCCTTGACCCATGAACAGTGCCGGTCCTTTTATCAAGAGAGATGCTGGTCCTGGCCAGGTGGCTCAGGTGGTTGGAACGTCATCTCATATACTGAAAGCTTTCAGGTTCGATCCCTGGTCAGGGGACATCCCTAGGTTGCGGGCTCAATCCCCAGTCAGAATGTGTATGGGAGGCAGCTGGTTGATGTTTCTCTCCAACATCAATGTCTATCTGTCTGTCTGTCTGTCTGTCATCAATATACATATCCTCGAGTAAGGATGAGAGAGAGAGAGAGAGAGAGAGAGAGAGAGAGAGAGATGCTGTGCTCCCAACAAGCCTTTCTAGAGACACTTAAATGCCTGGTCCAGTAGACGTCACGAATCAGAGGTGGCTCCGAAATGCTGGATCTACAATGTGTCAGGCAGATGGCCAAACAGGCTCCATTCCTGCACAGCAGACTTGCCCCCAAAAGGAGGGCTGGATGTAGTTTTCGTCCTGTGACCAGTGATGAGAGGTCCAGTTTCATCTGCTGCCACTGTAGACAATCACGGGCTGGAAGGTACGAAAGGAGGGCTCATTCAGGCTGCTCTCGCAGCATGGGGTGCGGCTCCTCCCAGCACATAACTCCCTGGTTCCCTGGCTCTAGTTCTTGCCATGCTTGGAAGTACCCCAGGAGGCTTACAAATCCTAGGACATAGGGAGGAAAACACGGCTCCTAATCCTGCAGACATGAGAATCATCTTGCCTGTCACAGAAGTGCCCGTTCACTTCGTTTATATAAACATGGGGCAGACTGGCACCAGGGGTGTAGAGGGGTAATCTTATTTCATGCCAGTGTTTTCCTTTTTATGTTCCCTGGCAGAAAGAGAGCACTTGGTCAGATGGTAGCACAGGTAAATAAAGTACTTGAATTCTCCCACAACCATATCAAAATTACAACTAAACTACAGAATGGCCATCATTCAGAACCACCTGTAATCTAGCTGAATGGAAGTCCTGTAACTAGGAATTTAAAGCAGCACCCACATTGAGACTGGTAGGAGGGGCAGGGATGTGGAATAGGCCAGTCCCATGCCCATGTATGGCAGATAAAAATCGGGAGGGATATCCCAGCTGCTGAGGTGCCCCTGAGGAGCAAGCCCCCCCGCCCCAGCCCATGGTTCCAGTGCCAGGAAGTTCCCATTACTTCGGGCTGTAAAAACTAGTGGGGATTGAGGGAGACAGAGGGCTTCTGAAGTCCCAGGCAGTTCCTCTTAAAGGGTCCCTGTTCAGACGTCTTTGGACCGACTCCCTCTGAGCTCCAGCAATGGGGCAGCAGCTTGAAAGGACCCAGGGACATATGGCGCTGAAGTGTCTGGCATCAGGGTGAGAGCTGGGAGGGCCGCTTTATCCCAGACAGAAGTGCTGGCACAGGCCGTTGTTCTTTGATGAGCTCCCCCTCCCCAACGAAGCCCGCAGGCGGGCACCACATCTGAGCCTCCATCAACCTGGCTTACACTACTCACCATGCCCTGGTGATTCTCGGAGACCCTGCTCCACCCAACTTCCAGGCCCACCCAAGGTGTTCACAGTGGCTTTTCCATTCAAATGGTGTATCTTGGTCCATGCTTCAAACTTTCCTAAAATCTCTCAAACAAGTAGCATCTGGCCTCAACATGCCACATACCTCTTGCTAAGTGACCCGAGGCCTGGCAGTTGGCTTTGGTTCACAGTTCGGCCTCACCTGGGCACCTCCAAGCCCTAGCAGCCATCTGCAGATCGCTCTATAGCTCATGCCAGGTGGCCCCAGGCAGAACACAGGTGGTAGCTGACCTTGGCCTGTGCTTCCCAGGAGATCTCAGAGCCAGCACACCTGCAGACAGCGGCAGAGCATGTCAAAGCATCACCTAATCACCACCCCAAGGGACACACTCAAGGGGCAGACTCAGTGAGCACCAGAGGCCACCTGAAGCCCTGCTCTGTGGGGTGGAGCCTGCACAGCTGATCCTCCATGGTCGCAGCCAGTCCTTAAACCCATAGGCCTGAGGGTGAACCCCTCTCATTGATGGGCCTACAGCCATCAAGCCTCAACTACAAGAGGAGGGTGTACAGAGCTCACACAGGGGCTGCACCGCAAGGGCCCAGCTCAGGTGAAGGGGGAGGCGGTGCCGCTGGATCCTACCGGACGCATACTACACAAGGCCACTCGATCAAGCCCAGGAGATGCAGCCGCTCTACCTCATACATAGAAACAAACACAGGGAGGCTGCCAAAATGAGGAGACAAAGAAACCTGTCCCAAATGAAGGAACAGAACAAAACTCCAGAAAAAGAACTAAACAAAACTATTTGAAAAAATGACAGGAAACTTCCCTAACCTGATGAAGAAAATTGATGTAGAGGTCCAGGAAATGCAGAGTCCCTTATCAACAACTGATTCTAAAAAGCAAAATAAACAGCACAACAGAAGCAGACTCATAGATACAGGGAACATTTTGACGTCCCAGAGAGGAAGGAGTTTGGGGAAATGGGTGAAGAAGATAAGGGGATTAAGAAGTACAAACTGGTTGTTACAGAGGAGCCACGGGGCACAAAGTAAGGCAGGGGCACACGGTCAGTAATATTCTCATAGCTATGAACGGCGTCAGGTGGGTATAAGATTTATCAGTATGATTCCTTAGAAAGTTATATAATATCTGACCACTGGGGTGTGTACCTGAAACTAATATAATATTGTATGTCAGCTGTAATTTTTAAAAATAAGATATAAAAAACTGAAAGAAAAAGAGAGCATTTGGAATAACTTAGGCAAAATAATACATAACATTTAACATGGAACTCTTCTGGGGGCCCAAGGAATAAAGTCACATTTCAACTGCTGGCCAACCCAGCAGCTGCAGGAAGTTGATAAGGATGCAGCAAATGGGGCTGCAGAGCACAGGAAAGCACACATTAAGACCTTGGGAAAGGCTTGTATCTTAAAAAGAAAAAGGAAGCATCTTCCTCTGCTTTTTTACCCTCTAGTCCCGTCTGCATAGTCTTCAGTGGGTTTTAGACACACACAGGTGGGCCCCCACTCACCACGTCCGTGGCCTGATCATCTCGCCACTCCCCTCACTTCGCAGACACCCAGCCCCCGGCTTCCCTCCGCCCCAGAAATTGCTTGCTGAGTTATGTCACAGTCAGGACAGCGCTACGGAGTTTGAGGAAGCTGGGGGGCCTGGCTGCAGAGGCCCTTGGTGGCCAGGGAGAAGGTTGTCTCATGTCTCTGCGGTCCTTCTCTGTTCATCTCCTCTTACCCCATTCTGCCCACTTCCTTCCCTCCCCGCGCCTCTCCCCCCAAGGAAAGCTAGAGGTTGTCAGCCCTACATTCTGAACCTGCCTAGAAGGCCTGCAAGTGTGCTGCCCGGCACAGTCTCGACAGTCAGGGTGGATCTGTGTATTTATACATCTTCAGCAGATGGCAGTCAAGTGTCTTGAGAAAGGGTTTTTGTTTTGTTTTGTTCTTTGTGATTTGCAGGGCAGTGCATGGTAACGAAGGTTGCGGGGAGGGGGGGGGCGGGGGGGCCCAGCAGGTCGGCGTGGGGGCAGTTTCATGGAGGAGATGGCTGATTAGCTGAGGAGAAAGGAGGACCGGGGACTCCAGAAAATGTAAACACATAATTTCAACATAATTTACTACAGGTATCTGAAGTGTATATAAAACATTTTAGTGCAACATCTTACAAATAGTTTTCCTTTAAAAAAACAAACAAAAAAATCAACAGCTCTCTACATCATGCACGGGTTGTTTTCTTACCCCACCTCTTTTTTCTTCAACAACTAACGCAGAGAAACCATTGTTTGACGAGAATATGAAAACTTGCTACTGTAACACCCTGGTGAAAGATGGTGTGGTCATATCCATGTCCTGGGATGGGCCTCGCACAGTGTAGGTTTCTTTACTGCAGCATCATAGATGGAGGTAAGTCAGGACAGGAGGCGGCAGTCCCCTCGTCTCCAAGCTCCCGCAGGCAGCGTGCAGTGAGGTCTCCCAGCCACTGGGGCGCACCATTACCATTCATCTTGACACCACGGTTCCATACAGACAGCCCAAGAAGGAAGGTCCTGGGGCTTTTCAGAGAAAGCTGGAAAAGCTCGCCCTTTGACGGAATCCCCAAGCCCCATAGAGAATACACAGAAAAAAAAGCAACTAGTAAAATACTGTCTTCGGTTTCTTTTCTTTCAAATTTCCTGCAACTGCTTCACCTATTTCATTACGTGCGGCAGTTACCTTTCTGCACCTTTGCAGCAGTCCAAACTCAAGCCTTAAGCCACACCCCAGTCCCAGGCAGCCCTCGGGCACCTTTCTGTTCGGACAGAGGAACCGTCAGCCTTCTGCCCTCACTGACTTAGTCTACACACTGGCGGTCAGCGATTTCCCATGAAAGCCCACACCCCTGAAGGGGTGAAACAGGGCCAAAGACCGCTTCTTGCATCGCCACTGAGCTGAATCTGCACCTCTGCAGCATTCACGCAGCAAAATAAATGACAATGAGCAAGGGAGGGGACGGCAGGAGTGAGGTGGCGGTGCCTACACCCCCAAGGAGACCACTGGTGAACCTGCGAGGAAAAGAGGGCAGGTGTGCGTGAGGCCACGAGAAAGTGGCTGAGCACTCGCCTTGCTTCGCTCCAGGTGTGATGCACCACAAAGCATCTGCTTTGCATCTGCTGGGCGCCCAAGAGCACCTGCGCCCCCACACCCCGATCAGGATCAGCACCCACATAGCCCGGGGAACCCCACAGCCTCCCCTGGCATCTGTTTTGTCTCAGAACAGGGTTTCGCAGCAATCTCTCTCGTTAGGCTCAGTGCCCAAATCCCTGCCTGTTTTTTTCCAAATCGGAAACTCCCTTGGGATTCAAGATACAAGTTCATAGAGAAAAGGAGATGGCACTGCAGCCAGCAAAATATGGGAAAACCAGGGCACAAAAACTTCTTGGCGGAGTGAGCGGACACTAGCAGCTGACGCTGCAGCAGCATTTAAATAAAAAGCCGCCGTAACAGTGAACTACCAAGTCACCTAAAACCACAAACGAGAGCTGAGAATGGGAAGAGTAAAAACCTACAGACCAAGGCATGGGATACTTTCTGCTGAGACTCGGTCAGGGAAGGCTACGAAGGGCTGTGTGAGGACCTCCCCGGATGCTGGCGTAGCAATGAGAAGCAGGGTGAGGTAAATGATGAGGAGGGACGACATCTCTCTCTTTGAGGAAAATCTAATCAAAAGGAAGAAGGAAAACCTCATCTTCATCACTCCTGAAGGGGCAGTTACTCCTGCCTGCTCTCCAATGCAAGGCTCTGGGAAGCCCCTCCCACCGCTGACTGTTCACTCTTCAAGGACCTGAACTGCCACCCTCTGTCAGTGTAGGTGACGGCTGCCTGGGCCCATGTGTTCAGCTCAGGCTCCCCTTCCCAGGCTCACTGCCCGCCTTCCCTTAAGTGTCTGGCAAAGCACCTTACAACAGAGGCCCACCTGGTCAGTGGCCAGTTAGAGACCATCCTCACAGAACAAATCACGCCAACAACTGGCCTTCCTTCCTTCACTCACTGCTGGCTTTGATCAACCTGCAAGTCAGTAGTGGCTAAAAAGTAGCCCTCGGCCCACTCTGCAAAGGGTGAGCTATGTGGAGCTTTTGACTTGTTCTCCAACAAAGTTTTCTAATTTTTTTGGCAAGGTTGGGAGGAATCCTATCTTTGCCTCCCTGACAGATAGGCTGGTCAGGCACCATCTACTCCTAATGGGGTTATGCAGGATTTCTCTCGTACATACAAAGTTCTTCGAAGGAAAAAAAAAAAAAAATCAATGCTTTCATCTTGACTACAAAGTGGTTCCAACAACTCCAGCTGAGGGAAAAGATAAGATACAAATTGGGCCCACACTTCACATAATTTTCAAGTCTCATTAAGAAAGTAAAAAATGTTTGCGTATATTTTGCTCCATGGGTGGCATTTTCAAGTGTGCAATAACAAAAGGTCTTGGAAGAGATTCACTTGCGCTATAAAGTCCGCCCTTCCTTTTCTCATTTGTTCTACGTAAGAGAAATGCGTCCACAACATTACAGAATCCAAAAAAGGTAAACCACAGGGATTGAAAGAGAGTCCATCACAGAGAACGAGAACCCCCGTAACCACCTATTACTACCAGTGAGTAGATGTGGCGCCTGGAGCTACTCACTACGTTACCAAGGACAAAAACAAGAACTAACGCCGCAGGAAGAGGACACCTGCTTGGCGATCGCTAACCCACCAGGACTGCCACCTGGAGGCAGCAACCTGCCTCTGTGACTGATTGGGGACTGTGAACACGACTCAAGTCCGAGTTTTCTCGTAGGGCACTCCGGAGCCTGGGTGCTGTCCGCTGTCCCATCACGGAGCGAGAGGCGGCATGGGAGCGCCTCAGCTCCTGGTGGCTGACGACCCCTGGAGCCTCTCAGTCTATGGCTCCCGGGTGGATGCTGAGGACAGGGGGCTCCAGGCAAGTGGGGGAGTAGTTGAGGTGCGGCTCTTTGATCCACAGCAGGGGCACCCCATTCTTCCCGTCCGAGTTCTTGCTGGAGCTCCGGCTCTTGAAGCGCACCAGCAGGATGGTGATGATGAGGATGCCGAAGATGGGGAACGGGTAGAAGAAGACGAAGTAGAAGAGCGCGTCATTGGAGCAGATGACGGACTGCAGGGAGGAACCTGAGGGGGCCGCGGGAGACAAGACGGTGAGGGTGAGGGCCGAGAGCCTGGACTGCCGGCTGCCGCTCCCCAAGACCTCGCCCAACCCAATGGAAGCCAGCTGGCGGGGCCCGCACCCCCCCCTGCCTTTCCCCTGCCACCACGAGTGAAAGGGGTCGATCCTTAAAATCTTGTGCTCGCAACGGCCCCTCTTCCAAAGAAAGCAAAGCTTCCATTTCCCACTCCAAGTCAGTGGTACTGCTTGGAAAGACACATAATAAAATGTAGTTTATGGACCATGAACTTAACTGCATCTAGGTTGGGGTAGAAGCTGACTCTAGTTTAGCCTGAACCTCCTGCCTGGTTCTATATTACTTGTCCCTTTGTACTTAGGTCTACTCCAAATGTCCTTCTTTGGGAAGATAACTTGTTCTTTCCCCACCAGCTTCTGACAGCAGTTTTACAAGAAATGACGCTCACTTGATTAACACTATCAATTAAAAGGTCACATAGACTGTTCACAAATGTCCACAGTGTGTCTGCGGCTGCACAGAACACAGCGCTGGTCACTTCCTGCACATGGACGAGACTGACGCACGGTGCCCTGACCGAGGACTGCTCCGAGACTTGGGGAACCCAGCAGGAGCCTGGCCTCTGGGAGCCTGCCCTTTCTCTGCAAAATAAGGCTTGTGAATGATCTCTGTGGTCCGTGAAGCTTCATACTGATGAATGTCCACAGTGGGAAGATAAAATATGGTCTATACACCTTCCCTTATACTTTTAGACAGTGGGTTAAGTAGAGGGTTGGGGGGTCTGAATAGGATTTAGGTTTTTTCTTCTTTCCTCTCTACTGCTTAGCTGTGGCTCATCATTATTAAGAAAATTTAACATACACTTCCACTTTTCAGATTTCCAAAGGATATGAAATTGGTGATAGTCAACCACTTGGACTCACAAAACCTCAATTTCATATGGTTCTATTGAATAAACAGAAGGCAATCAAAGAAAAGAAAGACTGACAATACTCAAAAACTTCAAAATTTACTGGTAAAATGTTTTGAACAAAAGTAGAAATTTCAAGCAAAGTTTTTATTTCGGCAATATAGGCTAATTTTATTCTAACAAACCTCTTTTTCAGGCTGATATAATCTATATTTTGACAGAAGGCCAACCGGAGGAGAGCCTTGTGAGAACAAACGATTCAGGTCAGCAAGTATTTCCTGCAATCTCTGCTCACGAAGCCCCTCAGTCTGATGCAGACTCTGAGCCTGGACCTTTCTGTAGCAACAGCTGACGGTGAGCAGGGCCGCTGCTAAGCTCTCCCCAGACGCTTTGTAGCATCACTGCCTTTCTAGGCTGGTCTTCCCAATCAACCCGGCAAAACCCACCCATACCTCCAAGTCGCCCTCCAAAATAAAAATGACCTTGGAACTTGAGAAAAAGAAAGAACGACTTAATGACCCACTGTTCACAAATATAAGGGAAGGTGTTTAGATCATATTTTATCTGCCCACCGTGGACATTCCTATCTATTAAGCTTCACAGAACACAGAGGTCACCCAGCAGCCTTATTTTACAGAGAAAATTCAGGCTCCCGGTGCTGGGCTGCTGCCGGAGTCTAAGGGAGGTACTTGAGTTTCATTCTTAAAAATCCTTCCCCTTATGAGTCTGAAACCCTTCAAAATTCACTAAAGAGAGAAGAGGTTGGATATTCTAAAGAGTCACAAAGTAACATCAACAATACGTTGTCCTTATACAAGGAAATCTTACTGAAATAGAATCTGGGGGAGCATAAGTTTGTTAAAGAGATTATCAGTAAACCATCACTTTGATTCCTATCCCTATTTTTCACATGAGCAATCAACGGTCAATTACATGAGCTGGTATGCAGATCCTAAATGCCCATGACAGGTGAGAATGCAGCTTATTAGTCCATAAGTGAGCTGTGATTTTTATCTTCCACGCAGCCGCAATCAGCTAGGACACCCTTCCCCCATCAGCTGGGAAACTCACCCGTGTCCAGCACTTGGATGCCGATGGCGGCGGACTCCCCCTCTGTCAGCCGGTACCACTCTTTCTGAGGGCTGGGCAGCCACTCCTCCACGCGGCAGGAGTAGTTGCCTGTGTCCTGGGGGCTCGCTTGCAGCACCGTGAGCCTGAAGAGCAGGGGGGACGGCCTCTGGAAGCGAAGCCTGCCCTCCCAGCGGCTGCCCTCTGGGCCAAACACGGCGTCTCGGCCCACGCTCAGCAGGACCACCCGCTCTGTTGGGTCCTCTTCCTCCTCTTCTTCCTCGTCCTCCTCCTCATCCTCCTGGTCTTCCAGGCCAGGGCTGTCCCCTTTCTCCCCAGCTTTAGTCCTCAGGGAATACCAGGTCACTGCAAAGTGGGAGTCCTGGCTCGAGCGAGACACGATGCTACAGTCCAGCTGGAAAGCTGCCTTCTCAGACACCGTGGCATTGGGGACCAGCGTGTCCACCTGCAGGGCGGCCTCTGGGAGGACAAGGGACAAAGAAGGGAGAAGAGGCTGTTTTAATTTATTTGCTCAAGAGAAACTCAATGTCCATCACTAAACATATTTTACTAATATCCATACAATAGAATACTGTGCACCTGCTGAAAGGAATGAGGACGTACTACGTGCAGAGATGTGGAAGGAGATTCAAGAAAAATGCCAGAGTACCGGCCGCTGGCTGTGTATTCTATGCCTCATTGCATACAGGAGCTTCTGCTTGCGGGGGTTATCGCAGAATTCACAGGCGCGCGTAACAGGGCTGCCTGCGGGAATCCGGGGAGGGCAGGCCGCATCTGCACTGTTAACCCTTGTAGTGGTCGCACAGTGTCCCCCTATAATTCACAGCCCCCTGGAACCTCAGCACGTGACCTGACCTGGAAATAGGCTCTGTGCAGATGTACATGAGTTTAGATGATCTCTAAATCCAAAGACTGGTGTCCTTGTAAGAGGAGGAGAGGACACACGGAGACACACAGCGAGGACAGATGAAGGCAGAGGCAAAGGCTGGAGGGATGCGGCCACAAATCAGGGGCCACCTGGGGCCACCAGGAGCTGGGAGGGGCCAGGAAGGGTCCTTCCCTAGAAACATCATGGGGAGCCTGGCCCTGCCGACACCTTGATCTCAGACTTGCAGCCGCCAGGACCGTGAGGGAGTAAATTTCTGTGGTTTAGAGCCGCCCGGTTTGTGCTCATCTGCTACGGCCGCCCTGGGAAACAAATTCGCCCTTTCAGCAGCTTTTGCATGTAAACTGTGTGCACCTAGGCTGTTGCCTATGTCACGAGGAACCCAACGAGGTAAATACTCTCCGAGGAATGAAGCCAAACTGCAGACTCCCACCTGAAAGGCGATTCGCACCGAGCATGGACTCCCGCCTCCCCCAAGGAGGGCGGCCCAGGCAGCGCCTTCCCGACGGAGGGGGAGACACGAACAGCCTGGGAGGGCTGCCCACGCAGGTGAGTCACGGCTCACAGACGCATTCAGACAGGCCGTGCTCCATTTCTTTATTTTGCTTTTTTTTTTTTTTTTAATGGCTCACTGGGGAAGGCTCCATGCAAACAATTCACTCCCTAGCTCCTAAAAGGCTGTTTATGAAATAAATGCTTGTGAAAGATGCCAACGGAGCGTCAACAAAAGCAGAAACCAAATCGGATCCTACTTGGATGAGGACCAAATCGGAGCATTTCCCAAGTACTTTCCTGGGCTTTCAATGAATTGGCTTCATGTCGCTCACAGGTGAACACAGAGCCGGGGATCCTACCGCTTTTGTGGGGTCCTGCCAAGGCCCCGGCCACCCCCACGGCCCACCCGGGATCTCGGCGTGCACGGCTGGCACACAGGGGCTTAGGGATGGCTGCAGGCACCCCAAGTCACGGCAGCCCTCCCCCCGGGGTGCACTGGGGTTGACAGCGGCGGAGTGGAGAATATGAATCAGTCCACAGGAGACTCAAACTCTCTGCTCATTGGCTGATTCTTCCAGAAAGCATAGCTAACGTGTGACCCCAAAGCCATAGAGGGAAATATTGCAGAGCAAGGGGTAGAAGAGGGAGCTTTGCCCTCTAGAGTCTAGCACAGTGTCCCCCTAGCAACTGGCCACTGTGTCAAAGGAGGTGGCCGGGGAAAGGCCATGCAACGGACCCACTGTAGCAGGTCACACATTCCGCCCCCGCCCCCCGAGTGGGGCTCCCCATTCACTCTCCCTTTGTTTCTTCTCGTCTATACTCTCAAGGATTCCTGGGCCTTCAAGTGTCTTGTCTGCATTAGGGACTTAATACAAGGTTGTTGAATGAAATTAATTTCCACCTTCATTCAACCACCCTCCCTTTAACACACCTCTCTACCAATTCGGTGCCCCACGTCTGACCCCTTCTAGAATAGGCCAGCCATGTCCCCGTTCAGACATCACCCCTCTCTCCTTTTCCAGGTGTGAGCCACAGGAAGGAGCTCCTCTCCGCCCCTCCCCTATGCTATGCGGACTGTGCCCACGGCTGAACCTTGACCGCTGACTCCGGGTCTGTCCGATGACGGTGGTTTTTCTCTTTCTCCACTGCGTGAGCCAAAGGCAACTACAGACGTACTCAGCTACAACTGCGCTGAGGGTAGGCGCCCTTCATTTTGTGTGTTTCACACTATGGTCGGCGAGTCAACTCTTGGTGTTACATTATTTCAAATCTTCTATACATTCCACTCGTACCTCAGAAAAGTACAGCCACATAATCAACATTATGCAACCAGTAGCAATGGTGGTTAGGAAATGCTGGAGAGATTATGGAACCACACTTTTCTGTGTTCCAAATGTTTTGTAACTAGCACGATCAACTTGTATGCAGTAATGCACCACATTAACAAGGCTTCGGTCAATGCTGGACCCGCATACCCACTGGTGGTCCCATAAGGTTATAAAGGGAGCCGGGGAATTCCTATCGCCTAGGGACGCCATAAGGTCGTACTGTGTCGCATTACTCATGTGCTCACGGTGCTGCTGGTGTAAACAAACCCACTGTGTTGCCAGTGGTATGAAAGTACAGCTATATAGTTATGGACAGTTCATAGTACTTGATACCGACCATAAATGACTATGCCGCTGGTTTATGTATTAACACACTATACTTTTTATCGTTATGTTAGACTGTACTTTTTCTACTTATAAGAAAAAAGTTTGCTACAAAACTGTGTTGCATTACACCTCACCTACCCCCTACGTGTCTCTTGGTCGCGTCGTTTTCTCTCGCGCTTGATTTGATCTTGGGTTGTTGTGTACAGAACACGCTGTACTGGCTCGTAGCCCGGGAGCACTAGCTGGACCACAGGGCCTAGGTGTGGGGCGCCCTGGACCATTCAGGTGTGTGTCAGTGTGCTCGAGAATGCTCGCACAACGACGAAGTCGCCGAACAACGCATCTCTCAGAACAAATCCCTGTTGTTAAGTGGCGCTGACTGTACTCAGGAAGAAAGGAAGGTAGGTTGGTTGATCCAGGCCCCTCATTTGGCTGAGCATGCGATGCAGGGCTGCAGGTTTAAGGGTCCCATCGGGAGCACACGGTGAGGCAGGAAGGAGACAGGGTGCCTGCTCCAGTCTACCCTTACTAGCTGGGTGGCGCTGCCCTTCAGGTTTCGGTTTCCTCAGGGAGAAAATGTACCAGTCGGGGTTGTTGGGAGGACAGAACATAAATCTCCTCACTGTGGCTGGGAGGCAGCTGCCACCGCACAAACGGATCTCTTCCCACTTCACCCGTGGCCTCAGCATGGTGACCCGGCAAATGGGCAGGACCCAGGGGACGGGGGACGAGGGGGGATGTTCAGCTGTCACATCTCCACAATTTTACCTTTGCGGAAAGATGAGCAGCAGTTTCGAGGCAAGGTAGAAGAAAGAAGAAAAAAGTTCATGGCACATGAGTAACTCAGAGCAGAGGTGACTTCCCTACCCCTGGTGAAGACACAGGAGAGTGAGTACCAGCCCCTCCTTGTGACAGAGGGCGCATTCATCTCCCAAGTGTGTTCTGTGATGTGTGGGGCCGGCATTACTGGGAGGCTTCGTTCTTCCACCGGAAAAGCTGCTCTCCTCAGGCACGAAAACATACGAAAGCCTCCAACAGTACTAACGACATACACAGGGACCTCAGGGTGCGCAGGAAAACAAACAAGACAAAGCGTTCCTGCCGGCACAGGCCACAAATCCATTTCTGCTCTAGGTCCTCGGAGGGACCCCTGAATTTCCGCTCAGATGTGGGTGAGTGATGATGTGATGGGCAGAGGACACAGGAGTCTGGCACAACTTCGCCTTAATTACGTGTTTAACTGTGTCACAATAATTATATCTAATACTCATGTGTATTCAGCTACACTGGAGGCAGACGAAGACAAGAAAAGTACAAGGCCACATGGGATAGTCATTAGCACCAGTAAAACTGCTAGGTCGTGAGAGAGTGAAGGCTTCATACACATCATCTTTTTCTACGTAAAGCATGTGAATCAATTTTTTCCCACTGAAAATCTGTAAGCTCAATATTTTGAACCACATGGCTACTGCTTTAAGATTTCTGCACATCCACCACTTGTCTGGGTCTGAATGTACTCTTTAAAAGGAATATACTCTATGCTTTGGAATAATTAATTGACAAATGTTATTCTGGTTAAGAAAAAGAATTACCCGAGGCCAAAGCCAGATGTGCAATTCCCATTCACTGGGGGAAAAAATTTGGGCAATACTGAATGCAAATGCAAATTTTAAGTGTCTCTATATTTAACTGCAGACAACTTATTAACTAACGAACTCATTTTAGGCAGCGCGTAAAATATTACACTCAAGGGAAACCGTGAAGGGCATGGAGCCCCGGGGACACTAACCCTCACCTGGTCGTGTGACTGTCACAGCTGTCTGCCCAGCGGTGTCCTCTGCCCGTTTATACCACACGCCACTGGGGCTGGGCAGCCACTCCTCCACGTGGCAGCTGTAGGTGCCGCTGTCCTGCACCGCCACGTTCTGAATGTAGAGCCGGTACACACCGGAGGAAGGACTCTCCAAATGCAGGCGCCCCTTCAGGTTGTTTTTGGCCGCCTGCTCTCCATAGTGGAAGGTGGCGTCGCGGCTCAGGCGGGCCACAGCCTCCCGCTCCGGGTGGTTGGGCTTCCATACAAACCACTCCACCACGAGCTGGGAGGCCGCGCTGGTGCGGTTCAGGACCACACACTCCAGCTGCACCTGCTGCGTCTCCAGAACGGACAGGTTCCCCTGCACTTGGCTGAGCTTCAGGCGGCTGTCTGGAAAGGCAAGGAGAGATGTCAACAACAAAACTACAACGGGCCACTTGCACACACCATTTCCAAGCAGAGGTGAATGGGTTCCTTCTACATTCAGAAGGAAGGCAGCACCTACAATTGGCAGAAACATTTCTCAGGCACGGCCCCCCAACCATTCTGAGATCTTGATCAGGAGTCCAAGTGTCTCAGTTTTATTTATTTTCTTAAATTTTTAGTTACTGATTTTAGAGGGGGAGAGAGAGAGAGAAATATCACTGTGTTGTTCCACTTTATTTATGCATTCACTGGTTGCTAGCATGATCAAACCCACAACCTTGGTGTATCAGGACGATGCTCTAACCAACTGAGCAACCTGCCAGGGCTTGAGTGTCTGAGTTTTAAGGAGTTCAATGTGACAGCAGTGCCTGTCCCCCAACTGGAAACCCTTCTCATTTCAGATGCTTAGCAAAGGACAAGCACACCCTCTTGTCTTAGATGACTTGTGCGGGTGACTGCACAGCTCAGTGGCAGCAGACCACCGAACGCATGGCTGACCGGCGTGGGAGGCAGCATGGGACAGGAAAGAGGCGGCGGAGGCCCCTCTCCGCGGGAGGCTCGAAATAAAAAGTTGACACTGCTGGAACCAGCGGCGGGAAAATTCAGCCCATCAAAAGTGTCGTTAATGATGGCACACACTCGTGTCACGCACAACATCTTACAAAAGGCCCTAACGAGTGTGTCTGGACCAGAGGCATCAAAAAGCTATGAAACAGGAAGTATACGGAGGCACCCCTGGGAGGGACCTCCTGGGCGCCATCTGAGGGGGAAAGCCATGCAAATTTACTTGTCACGTTGTGAAAGTGGCAGAATATTTTACAATGCACATGATTGCCTTTGTAATTAAAAGGCCAAAAAATTAGTAACAAAAAAACATTTTAAATAACCTGCCTCCTCTAAATAGACACACACACACAAGTTGTCTCTGGGTTGAGAGATTATTTTCTTCTTTGTATTCTATTTTTGTAGTTTCCAAAAGCTTTAAAGTGTATTCTTTCTCAACCGAAAAAGTGTAGGTTGGAGGGCGGCCCTTGTGTGGCGGGTGGAAAAAACAAGAAGAACTAGACGCAGGGGGCAAAAACCAAAAATGAAAAACATACAGACCAAAATTCTCCACAGAAGAGGGGCCTGTGATGCTTCGGTCAGAGCGCTGGGGCACTGCGAGGCTTCCGCACGAGACTCCCCTCGCTCCGTTGGGACAAGAGCCCTTCAGCCCTTCCGCACTGACCCCCGCCCCCCCCACCCCGCTGTTTGCCGAGCGAAGCCTGCCATCTCAGTGGGGAACTCCCTTGATAAATTTAGGGCCTGAGGAGGATCTCCGTTTCAGTGCAAACAAGAAAACGGAAAGGGTAGACAGTGACTCAGAGGAACCCGGAGGAGCAGGGCCTGTTTTCACAAGGGAACATGATCAGGACTGAAAAGACACAGGAAGAAGAGAAACCCGAAAGAACACCTGTGGGCCCAATGGCAGCCGTCGCTGTTTAAAAGCCCCCGGGGCTGGCCTGAAAGCAGGCACGGCGCACTGGAAATACCACACGGTGCACTTAGGCCAGAGGCTTTTTTTTAATGCACCAGCAGAAGGGTGAGCGTGAAATGTCACTGAGGGGCCCATGAGAGTAGGACAGTTTCAGAAATACAATAGGCTGAGAAAAAACAGGGGAACAGGCCCACCGCATTGGGCATGGGCCAGGCCACAGCTGGACTTCACATCCGGCTCCACGTGCCCCCTGAAGGAACAGTAACTGAGACCGTCTGGGAGGCATGGGCGGGCGCAGAACGGTGGAGAAAGCAAAGCACCTGTGCCCACTCTGGGAGCTTGCCGTCTGGTGGAGGAGCCAGACAGCCGATACATAAGTAAGGAATAAGTGATCCATAATAACTGACAATAAATGAACTTCCCTAAGTATGAATAGGCGTAAGTGCTCATGATTACCTGCATCTGAAGAGCTACGTAAACAGAACGCCACCTGGTGTTAGTACTATGAAGGGATGGGAAAAGGCATACAGAGTGCCTAGCATGTTATTTTATTTATCAAGAGCAAGGAATGGCTCTCTGAGGCAGAATGGGACAAATGCGTATCTATGGGCAACATATTCCGGGCTAAGAGAACAGTCAAAGGCCCTGAGGTGTTCAAGGAAAGCATCCAGTCATTCCTTATTCAACCAATATTTATGAAGGGGCCATGCCGGTGGCTGAAGATACAAAGACACATCCCTAGCCTCAAAGTGCTTATAGTACAGTGGGGAGAAAATACAAACACATTATTATACTGTGTGGTTTATAAGAAACCCCTGGTGCTACGGAAGATATCAGGGAAGGCTTCCTGGAGGTGGTGCTGAGTGAAGTCTTGGGAATGGGGCATAGTCAGGGGAGAAGCAAGAAAGGGACGTTCCAGGCAGTGATGGCGGCGTAAGAAAAGGCATGGAGATGGGACTGAGGCTGGCAACATAGCACCCCACTGCCCTGCAAGGAGGACAGGCAGGGACAAAAAACTGTAGAACGTGCAGGAATGAGGAGGGCAAGGGACCTTAGGGCCACACTATAGGCTAGAGCTTCTAGAGCTTCGCTGACGAGGAAGAAAGACTGACAGGGCACGCAGAGCTCCCTTCATGTATAGTCATGTGTCAGTTAACAAGGGGATGCACCCTGAGAAAGTGTCGTTAGGTGCTTTTGTTATTGCCAAAGCGTCACAGAGGCATTTATAGCCACCTCGATGGAACAGCCTCCCACACACCCAGGCTCTGCGGTCTAACCAAGGCCACACACCTGAATAGCGTGTTACTATACTTACTACAGTGGGCAACTCTAAGACAACGGTAAGCATCTGTGTCTCCAAACACAGAAAAGGGACAGTAAAAATGAAGACAAAAAACATGGTGCGCCTGTCCGGGGTGCACACTAAGAACGCAGCCCGTGGGACTGGAAGGAAGCCGCTCTGGGTGAGTCACCGAGCGCGTGGTGAGGGGCTGGGAGGGCCTGGGGCGTTGGCGGGCAACACCGCAGGCCTTACAAACACTGTCCCACAGACCCTCCCCCGATGCCACCGTGCGGGGTCAGGGCTAGAACCCTGACGCTGCCCGTGCCGCTCCCTGAGCAGGACGCGGGCTGGGTTGGCTGGAGATGTGGAGGAGGAGCCGGCTGGGTAGGGTGTGGATCGTGCTAACAGTGACAGTCGGTGGCCCGCGGGCCCGTAGGACTCAGGGCTCAGCGGGGCTGCGGGCACAGCCTCCGCGGTGCTGGAACAGGCTGGGGGCTGGCTGACGGGGCTGTGAGCTGTGCTCTCAAACTTGAGGCGCTGTGAGCAAGACTAAATCTACTGCCCAGCTCCTCAGATATTGCTCCTGTCGTAGAAAAAAGTCCCCCTGAACCCCATATCTTTCCATTTCTTACAGGAAATTCAGCTCCACTACAATCTACGGGACCCCCGTCCTAGGGGCGGTCCACTGTGTGCCTAACCGCCGTTCTGTGGTGCGTGACAACATCTGAAAGGACAAGACCCACAACTCCCCTGTGTTGTTCTAGGGGCGGATCTAAAACCTGAGAGGGAGATTACGGGGAGGGGAACTTTTCAACAAGGCGGGGAGCCCAGAGGCGGAGCCAGGCCTGGGGTGCAATGCGCTCTCCCGCCACGGGGGTGACCAGCAGAGGTCAGATGCTACCTGCCAGGCTGCCCCCACAGGGTCTGAAGGGGCCGAGCGGTGATTCAGTCTGGAGACAGGAGGCCCTCATCCCGGCCTGCAGACAGGTGGTCAAGAGGAAGGGGAGCCAGATGCGGGACATCAGAAAATGCCCTCTAGGCAGGAATCCTAGGTTTAGAGCTGGCGCCAGCCCAAGACCCAGGGTGCAAATGGCAAACCTGGAGAGAGAGCCAGGCACCACCAGAATCCTGCCCAGTCACGTCTTGCCAACCACAGCCACCCCTCAGGACTCTCCCCGGGGTAGACGCCATCCACAGAGCAGAGTCAGGGATGCCGAGTTTGCCATCAGGGCTGGGACCCTTCCTTACAGCAAAGCGGGCAACCCTCGGCACGCAAGCACAGCAGTCTGTGCAGAAGTCTAAACCAAACCCCCACTAAGCCCGCCGGCCCGGGATGGCTGTACCCCTGTGCTTACCTGGCTGCTTCACAGTCACCTCTGTGCGCCCCGAAACCTCCTCTGCCAGTTTGTACCAAGCATAGTTGGGACTCAGCAGCCACTCCTCCACGTGGCAGTAGTAGCTGCCACTGTCGCTGACCTCGGCTCTCTGGACGGTGAGGCTGAACAGGCCCCCAGACACGTGCCTCTCAAACTGGAGCCTGGCTCTCAGGCCCTCCTCCTCCGCGTAGGTGCCGTACTCAAAGGCGGAGTTGTGCGTGGTTTTGAGGATGAGCTTGCCGTCGGCATCCGAGGGCTTGTGGACGTACCAGAGCACAGCGAAGTGGGAGTTCTGGCTGGTCTGCGACTTGACTGAGCAGTTCAGCTGGATGGGCCTGTTCTCCACCAGGGTGAGGGTCCTCTTGGATTTGCTCACCTGTAGCTTTGTCACTGCAGAAAAGGGGGCAGGTCAGCAGAATCACACCCCCCCCCAGAAACATGGCCGGTCCCAAGCCTCTCACCCGCCAGCTCCCAGTCCGGTTTTGTCCCACAAGGTTCCCAGAGGGACGGGACATGGAAGGCTTCCTCCAAAGTACGGCTCGGTGAGGGCAAAGCTGCACGGGGCTGCCTTCACCCCAAACATCCCTCCCAGTGTCTCCTCCTTGCCTGGCCCCCGCTTAGGCCCTCGCCCTCTCCCCCGCCTCCTGCCTGCTCCCCAGCCTCGCATGGCCTCGAAGCGGATCCAGTGAAAACTCAAATCTGCCCACATCACTTCCCTGCTTGAAAAGTTTAATGGTTCCCAGTTGTTTTTAGGTTACAAAGAAAAAGCCACTTCTTTTCACAGCACCAAGTCCTTCCAGGAACTGTCTAAACTCACCCCCAGGACTCGCTCCCGGAGTGCCCACGCCCCATGCAGGTTCCCTCAGCCCCAGTCTCTGCTCAGCTGTCCTCTCTGCCTGTCTCCCCTGCCACGTCTCTCCACTCAGCCAGGAGCCGCTGTCCCTCACCCGATCCCACTGGGCCACACGCGCCTCCTCTGTGCTTCCATCCGCACCCTGTGTATCTTCAGGCCGCTTTCCTTGTCTCTCCTCCATCCGAGCCTGTGAGCCCCCCAGGGATACAGAGCGCGCTTTCTCCATTCAATCTGCAGATATTTAGAGCACATCCACCCTGTCCCTTCATGACGCTAAGGAGACAGCCCTGTCCAGAGGACCTTCTCATCGCTGCACCCCCAGAGCCAGGCACAGTGCCTGGGCTTCAGAAAGCGCTCGGTCAGTGTTCACTGAGTATGCAAGTGAGTGGGTGGGTGAGCGAACGCAAGTCCGCCAGAGAACCATGGCCAGCAGGGGGCTGGAGGACACCCGGGTGGTCTTCCTGGGCGGGGAGACTGAGAGGAAAATGACAAGCAGCGGGACAGCAGAGAGACAGTTCCAGCCTCCCCTTCCTCTCGCTGTCCTGCTCCAAACCAGGAGGGCGGACTCTGGAGTGAGCCTACCTGCCAATGAATGACTGTTGCTCACCTTCAAAGTGGCAAAAAACCACCTTCTAATGCAATATATCTGACGAAGGTAGTAATCTGAGGTCATACCCACGCCATCATTATTGCACTTGGCTCTGCTTCCCTCTACCCACCGTCCCCTCTACTGAAAAAGACACAATCCCAATTTCCTCTCAGGAAGCTAATAGTAAAAGCATCATTCCGCCTCCCCACCTCTTCACACTTTGCTTTTCAAGACTGAGGCACTCACCGCCCGAGAAAGAAACCTGGGCCAGGCACAGACCCGACAGGGAGGCAGCGCCGCCCAGCTTCTTCGCTGGGCCCGCCCAGAGTGGAGGCCGGGGCAGGTCTGCCTGGCCCGTCTCCAGCACGCCTGCTGGTCAGTGTCTTGATCCAGACCGAGCACTGGGTCTCCTGGCCATGCCCGGGCCTCCCTGACCAGCGCTGGCTGGCTGGCTTATAGCTGGTGTGGACAGGCAGCATCAAGGTCCGAGTCCCATGTGCCAAGGCAACTGAAACTTTCGAAAGCCCCAAGCTGTCAGCTGGGAAGCCTGGTAATTCCAGGACAAACCTCCTGAATGGCTGAGAGGAGTCAGCAAGCTAAGGCATGGCCGGATCCGACACCCAGCGCAATCATTGCAAAAGCTACTCCAAGGGCACGTTTCAGCGAAGGGCGCGCCCGGTATATCAGGAGACGCTGCTCACAAAGGGCTGCTGAATTCACATACCTACAGACCTCCTGCAGCCCTCGAGGACACAGCACTACCCACATGAAAGAAGCCCCACATCCCACGCCCCACCCGTTGGATTCATTTTTTCTGTGAACAAGCCCGGTCTCCTGCCTTATCCCTTCTTGAAACACAAAGGCCTCCAGGGCACACGGGGGTCTGGGTGGGGTTTACCCATAAGCTCCGAGCTCTGGAAATGAATTTCCCATTTGCTTGCCCTTCCGTGTCCCCGTAACACTTGAAACAACCAGCCCCCTTTCATTCCTTTCCCAACCAATTCACTGCTCGCAAATGACATCTGTATCAATGCAAATGACACCACCTGAGTTGTCTGGTCCTTGGCCAAAAGAACTAGGTTGTTCAGTGTAGGGCAGAAAAAGCTTTAAAATGTATTATTAATTGGGGCCAGATTATTTTTGCAACTGTTACTAAGGAAACCTCAATTGCTATAGTAACTGCATATGTTAAACTGGAACCCTATGACTAAACTTCAATTCGTCACATGGTCTGAGGACAAGAATCCAAGGAAATGTTTCAAAGCATTTCCATTTTTATTTTCCTTCTCGTGTCAAAATATTGTGAAGTGTTGAAAAGCCTGAAAAAGAGGCATTTTTCAAATTTAGTGCATGCCTGGCAGGTGGGCGAAGGGTCAGCTCCTAGTCCACGCTCGAAATTTCCTCCCACACGTCAAGATCAGGGAGGACCTTTCCCGAGGCCCAGAGGAGACTGCAGGCTCCATGGCTGATTGGGAAGCACTCTCCCTCCTGCCCAGCGCCGCCCTGGGTGGCGTGTGGCCTGTCTGCGCCGCCTCCTCTAGTTAGCGGAGTCCAGCCCCCGTAAGGTCGTAGGTATTTCCATCTGCAAGATCAAAACAATCCTAGTATCCCCCTTGTATCACAGGAGTGCGTGCAGACGAAAAGCAACAGTCTCTAGAAAGAGATCGGCACAGAGCCTGGTATCTGTCAACACGCAGCACATTTTTACTACGCCCACTTCTTTTTGGTTTCTGGGCTCAGTTCCATGTTCAAAGCACATTAGATTGAGAACTGTCAAATGTAAGTGACAAACTTCCTACTAAAACTGCTGTCTACAGACCTGCAGCATCGGTGTCAAGCAATGGTGACGCCAGAGAGCTTGTTAGAAATGCAGACTGGGAGGCCCCCTGATCAGGTCCCCAGAACGAGAATCTGCCTTTTATTCGACAAAGATCCCCAGGTGACTCATATGCACTTTGAAGCCTCTGGAAACCTTGGACTTTGTCTTGTGTGAGTGAAAGGACTTAACAAGGCTTTGCCCTTAGAGGTGAAGGAAAAAGAGCACAGGAGGGTCAGGCTTGACTAATCCCCCACTGTGAGCCAGCAGGAGGCAGGCGAAGGTCCAAAAGGCTGCGCTGCGGCCCCTCCCCACTCCCAGGGCCCGGCTGACCCACTTGAGGAAATGGCCCTTTCTGTCTGCACCGGGGGCTCCCTTCCTAGGCCTCCCAGGGAAACGTGGAGAACGCCGTGTTCTGCCCTGGAGGAGGCTGCTCTGCTCTGACGGACAGGTGCTCTGAAGGAGAGGCGGCAGGAGGAGCTTGCAGCCACGCAGAGCAGCCGTGCAGAGCAGCCGTCTCCTCAGCCAACCTCCCCACCTGGTGGGTCCCGCCTTGTGTGTGTGTGTACGGGCGCGCATCTCACTCAAAACTTTCTTCCATCACGAAGGGATTGCCTTGGTCCCTGCTGGAGCTCTGTGGTGTGCTGCCTGGCACTGAAGTTCACTTTTTTCCATCTGATGCCTTCACGTCTGTCTCCTCCTGCCCCGGTGCAGGTGCCCCAGGGATCTGGGAGCCCCGCAGGTGACGGAGCAGGGCTCACGGGGGAGAGGACGGTGGAGGGGGCTCCCTTCGCTTCTCCTAGGTTAGCATCTACCTTTCTTGCCGAGTTGCCGTGCCTCCGGGCCTGGGCTATGCCCTTTTCATACCCCAGCTTCTCCTGACTCTACCACACTGAGTAGCAAGGAATTACTACTTAGCACCACTTTGCTCTGAGGCAAAGTTCTTTTCCTCGCTTTAAAAAAAAAAAGTTAATTTTAATTTTTAAATTTTTTTTCTGTATTCCTATCCCCCAATCCTCTCCCCTTTGACAACCATCAGCTTGTTCTTTATATCTATGTGTGTTTCTGATTTATTTTGTTTATATTTTTGTTTTTTTTTAAGACTCCACATATAGGTGACATCAGACAGTATTTGTCTTTCCCTGTCTGACTCAGCATAATATTCTCCGGGTCCACCCATATTGTGGCAAATGACGAGACTCCATTCTTGTCTATGGCTGAGTCATATTCCACTGTATCTCTGCACCACACCTTCCTTAATCCATTCATCTACCAGTGGACACTTAGGATGCTTTGCTACCTTGGCTCTTGTAAATAATAATGCAATGAATACAGGGATACAAATGAGTGTTTTCGTTTTTCTGGATGAACACCCAGAAGGGCCTGCGGGATCCAACGGCGGCCCTGTCTGAACCTTCCGAGGAGCACCCCCACCGCCGTCCACACCAGCCGCCCTAAGAGGCCACCCCGCTGACAGAGCGTGAGGGCTCCCTGGGCTCCACACCTGGCCAGCCCTTGTTGTTTGTTGATTTAGTCACCAAGTTAGTTTTCTGGAGCTCTTCTCTCTCCTGCTAAATAATAAGCATCCGAAGGGCAGACATTGACCCGATCACCTGCTAATCCATGTAATAAATGCATGGCTGCATAAATATGTAATTCATCTTTTCTGGGGGTATGGCAATGCAAAGGAAAGGCTTTTAATCCTGGTTATGTCAGGAGAGAGAGGCCTTTTCAGGAAGTATGGGGCATCCGAGCCAGGCCCAGAAAAACAATGAGTGGGTGGTCCCCAGGCCGCGAGGAGAGTGAAAGGGCACCTCAGAGAGGCGGGGACAGGTGAGCCAGGGTGAGACCTTCTCCGTGCACCGTATTCGGGGTATAGCAAGATGCCACGTGCAGTGGATGAACTTAGAAAGGTGCACTACCCACCCCCGACCCCTGACGGCGAGGGCCCCGGAGAGCGTTCCAGATCTCGAGCACCTGTCCCTTGTTGGGTGCCATGCGCGGGCCTGCTGCACCGCTGTCACCTGGGGACTTCCGGTCCCACATCCTCAACATCGCCCTCAGCCTCTGCTCTTCCTCCTGCGCGCGGTCGTGCCCTGTTTGAGGCCCTAACAGTCCCTTTTTCAGGCCTC